GCATGCACGGAGAGAACATGCAAACTCCACCCAGAAAGGCCCCTGGACCGGGGTTTGAACCAAGGACCTGCTCGCTGAGAGGCAGCAGCTCTACCAGTTGCGCCACCGTGCTGCCCCAGAAACTAGAACATGTCTAAAGAAAATCTAAATGAATCCATGCAGCTGCTTAGTTTAGTCATAAACCAAGCTGGTAAAAAGGTTTAATACATCAACTGTAGAAGGCACAAAAATTATGGTAGTTAATAAAGTTTGTTTATAAAAACATTTGGAAAGTTGAGACAGCTTAAAAGCTCAAATACCTCAACCCATCCATCCATCCATTTTCTTTACCCGCTTATTCCATTTTGGGTCACGGGGGTCGCTGGTGCCCATGTCCAGCAATCACTGTGCGAGGGGCGGGGTACACCCTGGACAGGTCGCAAGTCCATCACAGGGCCCAAATACCTCAACTACAGCCCCAAATCCCAAATGAGTTGAAAAGGAGGCGCCGTGGATGAATTTACGTCAACCTCGTGGTGGTGCTTGAGTACCTGACTGCTGAGCATGAAGCTGGTGGAAAACTTGGCTTGTGACAAAGCGAGGACGGAGATCACACCCCGGCACCTACAGCTGTCTGTCTGTAGCGACGAGGAGCTTACAGACAGTCCTGCTGCCCAGGAGGACTGAGAGGCCCGCCAGATCTGACAGCAAGCAGGTGGGTGGATCAGTATCTGTGGCCAGATTCTTTGGATTCGCTGCAGGAGATCTTTCCTGCCCACAGCTATCAGCATCTATAACAACGCTTGAATGAAACCAAGATGATGAGCTACAACAACACTTAATTTCCCTTTGGAATTAAGAAAGTAATTTTGAATTGCATTGAAAGTTAATGACATCATCACCCTCTAAATTAAAACTACGTTTCAAAAAACACCCAAATTCATGAAACCTAATCTAATTGTGTAAAAACTGTAAAACATGTCAAAATGTGACCTGCATTATATAAAATATATATATTTTTGTAACCTGTTTAAACCTTAGATGATGCTAATACCATCCATGCCCAGTCGATGGAGCTCCAAAGATTCTGGGTTTTCTTTTGCTTCACTAAAAGCTTCTTGTTGTTTATGAGAACATTTTCTCACGTTTTGGCGGTTTTATCACCGTCACACAACGCACTGCTACCAAAACACTATTCTTGATCAAGCTGCATGTTTTGATGTAACTTTTTGTGTGGTCTTTTAAAAAATATTAAGAGAAGCAGCAAATAAAAAGTTAAGATGGACACAGAAGAATAATGAGGAGGAATAAAACAACAGAATAGTGATTAGTGTGCTTCAACACTTTCACAACCGCCCTCATCCCATATAATAATGTTGCAACCCCAGTTTCTACTCAGCGTCAAAGGACAGTACTTTACACAATCAGAAATACACGTTATTAAAGCAAGTTATTCCATCTGTTATTAAGGCTTGTTTTAAGAGGATTTGATCCGTTTTATTAATCACTTCTAGCTTTTGCAGGAGTAGAAATTAAGATCATCTCACGTTGAGAAATGACAGAATTGCAGCCATTTTGGTCAAACCTTAAAAAAATTGTTACGTGCTTTAATGTCACGCTGCAAACGAGTCTCAGCTGCTGCCATGTCAAATTTGAGTCCAACGTCTCGAAGATAAATTGAGTTATGGGGGTTATTGTGCTGGTTAATTTTGTTCAGATGTGGCGGACATCTTGAATGAAACTGACTTCAAAAGTTAATCAGTCAAAGAGGCACACCCAGAGGTTATTTTCTGCACCTTTTATGAAAATTAATAAAAAAAAAAAACTGAGCAGTTTTTGTAATGCTAAAAATAATGAAACCTTTAAGTTTATATGAGAAAGAGAGGATAGTCTTTCAATATTTGCATCTAAAACATATGACAAGAGGATTTAAACAAGTGTCTAACTGTTCAGGATGCATTTGCTGGGATGATCCTGACATTGTGGATCTTGTTGGAAACCTCCACTGGGTGATGCTGTTGCAAAGGAAACCCTCTCAGCACTTCTCTGGTTTTCCTTCTCCATCAGCAGACAACAGTGCACATTTGCTGATGCACCTTTAACAAATCTTTCCTACCAGAAAAGATGAGGTTCAATAAAGATCAAGACCAGAAAGGTGTCAAAATCTTAAAAGTGCAACAGAAAGACTTATACAACTGTCGGTGGAAGACTTGAATGCTTCTTGCAGCAAG